TGTTTAAAAAGATACATTTCTAATGGCTGTGTATTATTTGTTAAGATGAAAATTTTTCTGAGTAATAGATTCCTGAGAAAACAAAACTTAACTACTAAGTTGTCTTTAGGTATAGACATAACTATTGTTCTAAAGTTTGCATATTCAAATTTTCAGCGTAATTTAAAGAAAATAACTGTAAGGATTGTCATTTTATTTCTGTTACTTTATACATTGATACTCCAGAATTGCTAGCTAATGCATACACTGCTTACTCATAGAATGCATAATTCAAATGTTTAAAAATACTGCATTCTTGTTTTCTTCTTTCATTGACTATAAAAACTAAGAGGACCTTTGTTGTTGCTGTTGTTTTAACTGAATGATCTCTCAGCTCCTCTAACACTCATCTGCTCAAATAAGCATGAAATAAGCTTAGAGAGGGCTTTTTCCCCAAAGGTCAGCAAAATATTACTAACTTGCTTAAGCCAAAGAAATAATCAAAAATGACATCATCAGAAGTCTGACATTATGCAAAACTAGATGATCTGTTTTACTTATTAAAGAAAATGCAATTGGATACTCTGACGTTTTTTATGTCTCCAAAGATAGTAAGATCAAAATAGTGTATTAAAAGAGCTGTACAAGTGATTTGAGATTGGGTATCTGGTAACGTGTAATGTTAACTTGTGTATTCATAGTTTATTTGCAGTCATATGTTCCGTCACTGGGTCTAGTTTTCTAAAAACGCATGTTGTGGAGAAATTCGAATCTTAAGAGAGTACGAAATATCCTAGTACATGACCACAGAGGAAGCTATGCTGATTCCAATAAGGGCAGGCCATCAGGGTATGAATATTACAAGTGAGAGGAAGTGGAGTGATGACTTGCATACCATTTCAATTACAGAAAAAGAGCAAGTGGGTTAGTCTATCTACAGGCACGATCCTTTTAGGAAATTCCACTAAAAGAAAACAGGTCTTCCTGAAATGAGTGGGAAGGCGTCACACTCCAGGCATTGTAATTAGGTCTGTTTGTGTTCCCCAGGCCTTGGAATCCATGTGGTTTCATGTATTAAACCCGACTCTGGCTGCCCTTTCACCCTGACTCAAACATAATCACTCACAGAGTGAGTCAGGCCAAGCTTCCTAAGTGTGCTCCACCCAACAGAAGTGGGATAAAGGGTACCCAGATAATTAGCATTTATTAAGTGCTTACTACATACCAAGAACTTGCTCAGTGCTTTTTATACATTATTATGTGGTCATTTTTCCACAATAACTATAGGAGACAGGTAGTACCTCTGTTCATTTCATTACTGTAAGGGCCAAAGTAAAGTGAAACCATGCCTCATTCTAAAGATATTCTTTCTTCCAAATCATGTATCATCCACTATTACTCCAAGACATAAACAATACTGGAAAACAGTCTCCATCAAATAAGAAAAATAAATTGGGCTAGTAATCCAACTGCTCTAATGAATTGTTAATATGGATAATAACTAGGTAGTAGTATTTTCATAATAAATGCTAAGATATCATGATAACAGCAGCATAAATTTATCTGTTTCCTTACTATAAATATACACAGAACAATTTTATTTTATTTCCACATTCAGCTGAAGTTGGAATTGAAATTTGAAACCATATAATACTGAGAGAATTTATGTAGTATCAGAAAAAACTACTGGATTTTGGCACATCATGCCAAATCCCTAGCAGTATATTTTCTGAAATAAAAAATTGTTATAACATTTAGAAACCCTAAATTAGGGTTTATCATAACTAATGAAGATGTTTTAAGAATGTTATTACATGTTAAAATGTAAAATACACAACAGATTCCATTGTCTGAAGTTTCTTAATCTGAAAGTGTTATTCACTCCTAAATTTTCCTGTTAAAACTGAATTTAAACGTTTATTGGCATCGTTATATAAACTTTCTAGTTATGAAAGTAGTGAAACTCCATTTTAATAAATCGAGATATTTCAAGTTCCAATTTTAGACAACTGTTTTGTTGTTTGTTTTTCCTTACCAGGAACAAAAATTAAAAGTCATCTAAAATAGGTGAACTGATTCTTCCAAAAGAGTTGAATTGATTTGAGAAAAATAAAGTCCTATGCTGAAATTAATTTTAATAACCCTGAAGACCCTTGAAAAAAAATACTTTGCAAAGCAATGTATTAATTCTGGAACACATATGATTGTGTACTCTATGCTGATGCCTCAAAACTCATTTATTTTATTCATGAATGTGTAAACATTACATTTTCAATTTTATTGTGTAACGGCATTTAATGTCACAAGGCTTGTGATTCAGAGTCCCTTGGTTCTATCTCAAACATGTCTGTATCCTCCATCTTGCAGCAGTTCTGTTTTTTGCACCCTGTCAGATGTAACCTTTGTGTTAATTTGGAAAAATCAGTTCTCACGTTTAGTGCTGAGAGACTGATAACTGAATTCTCAAATGAACTACACATTTTCAGAGATGAAGTACAGAGCTGTGGACAATGACTGTGTTTTCCCACAGTGTAAATTCTTCAGACTCAGCTGTCAACATGTGAGTGTGCAGCATAAAAGCAGCTTTAACTTGATGGCTTTTTTTCCTCCGAGGCCATAAAAATGAAATGGATACTATACTCTCCTTTATGTTATTCCATCTTCTAAATGAGATTTTGTTTCTCATGGACAGAGAAAGCCTGTATGCCCTTTAGGGTACTTAGTAGATCAAAGTCTTCTTTCTAAATAGAAAAACAAACATTCTCCCTCCCACACAAATATTTCAGTTTGTGAACAAACCAGATAGCAAAGTTAAGAGGGTTTTTTTTTTGTTTTTTTTTTTTTTTTTCCTACTAATTTTGCCTCTGCACACATCCTAGGGCTAATAATTTATACTGGATATTCTAGAATATTCCTCTGGGTTTTTGGAGTTCTGCACATGCTCTTCTCTTCATCTCAGCACCTTTTCTTTTCCCCGGTGAGGCATCAAATTTCTCACATGGTCACCCAGGTACCATGAAACTCTGTCTACCCCCGGTGGGAGAGGAACATTTGACAACATGTCTAATCCCCTTTGATTACCACAGTGTTTGTATGCAGTCATCAATTATGTTAGGTATCATTAGGATTTAAAACAGTAAAGAAGTGATGTCAAATTTAGAGAAAACTTGGGAGGTCAAGAAATAGGGGAAGCTAAGAGAAGAGACTTTAAAAGAATGGGCTAGTTAATGATAAATACTGCAGGAGACATTGTCAAAGTAGAGATTAATAAAAAGTAATAGAAAATCATTAGTGTCCTTTGGAGGAATAATTTCAAGGAAGTAATTATTGGATGAATGCCAGGTTTAAAGTAAAGGTAGTGAAACATTGAGGAAACAAGTCCTAACCAGGCTATGAACTTAGATATATTGGGACTTTGTGGCATAGCATGACAGAACAGTTTTGCATAGGATAAGTAAGATTTTAGCTTGGAGGAAGAAATTAGTACTGAAAAAGAGATAAAGATAACAAATGAAATGTAAATTGACTAAATTAATCAAAGAACATCAATGCCATTAAGAGCCAAGGCTGAAGGGTCAAACGAGGAGGAAGGGAGCATGCCTTTGTCACTACTACATGGAAAATTATAGGACAGTCAGAAATGCTGTCACAGGAGGGAAGAGATGCTGACTGAGGTAATTTGAGGTATGTTTTGTGTTTTGAGTAGTCACTTTGAAGTATAAGATGGATCAGAACAAAGGTTGTCACACAACTCATGGTCTCTTGGAATTTCAATGAGATCTAGAGGTAGACCTGTGATTTTTCTCTAACAACTAATGAAAGACAGAAGGGATGAACTATATTTTGAGGTTCCTGAAATAAGGCAGGAACAACAAGTGTGGCAGAAGTTCATAGAATGAGATATTCAAGTGTCTTACTGAGAACATGACTATAAACCATAAGTGTCTTTCTTTGTAATGAATTATGTATAACCAGGAAAAATTTCATGCTTCATTCTTATTAATGAGTTATGTACAAGCAGGATAAATTTCATGGAGAGATAATTGGAGATTGGGTGGCTTTGTTTTTTAAGATTGGAGGTAGGCATAAATATAGATCATTAAGTAACAATAAAAACAACCATGGTTAATATACTAGGGACCTTTATAAAAATTTTTGGTAAATGTGTAAATGACTAACCAAAAAAAAAAAAACAAAAAACATTGAACTCTAGATAGGAGGATATGAAAAGATTGCTTAGTTAAAATTTTGAATAAGAGTAGTATTTATTTATTTTGGGTATATACAGCTTGTATATTTTCTGCTATGCCAAAATTATTTTCTATACTAAAAAGAAAATAGAGAGTAATAGTAATAAATAATAATAAGCATCTACTTGATCAAGTAGTTAAGCCAGTGCCTGAAGTTCAGAAAACTGGGTTTCTGTTCTAAACATTCTTCTACTGGATTAGGTAAAATATTGACCTTAAAATCCTAACCTATAAAATGGGAGAGGGGTTTTAGGATGATTAAGATTAAATGTGAATCATATGAAATCATGATTTAAAATACCTTTGAAATTTTGAAAAGACTATTAATATGTTATTCACACTGCAATAACATTCAATTTTTGACATTCACTAGTATATAAGATGATGTTTTCAAGGAAATAATAAGAGATGTAAAGGGAAAAAAAAATACTACCCTGTAAGATTTGTTGTGGTGTCCCCATAAGACAGAATTGGTAAGTCGTCTTATCTTTTTCCATTGCCTCCCTTCCGTAGCTCCAATCCAGATCTTTCTTTCCATAGCTAACTACTGAGAAACTTCAACTTTGGCACTAAATGAATCTTTTCCTGAATATTTAATCTCTCTTTTCTTTCTTTGCCGAACTTTCTCACACCCAACATCATGAAGTCACCACCATTAGCTTAACTGCACACTAAATTTCAAATCATATTGCATGTACTGTAAAAGAGTTCTCCAGTAACTTAATACAGTTACATATGTTATATGTCTATTTTCTTTCATAAACCACGTACCATTAAGCCACCTGGAATCATGCTGCTCTGTCCTGATTGGGTGGTGGTGCCCAAGAGTTCGGAAGATAGCAAAGTCTCGCCCCATAAAATCAGCTGCAGTTCCAGAGTATAATTCTCCATCTGTGTTGTGACAAAACCACATACACATTCTTTAATTCAGTTAAGGCAAAAACAAAGCAAAACGAACAAACAAAATGCAAGTTTCATGTTATGAGCAAACTAAGAAGAAAACTGAAATGCTCTCTGCATCATTATGCAGAGTTACTTATTTTTTAATCCTATGTCCTTATTGAAGGAATTATTTTATCAAATACTTATTCACTGATTTAGTGTATGACTACTTATCTGGTACAAACTTAGAAAATCAGAATAAAGTCCGATTCAGTGAATCTTGCTAAAACATAAAATTATAAAATTATATTCTTTTCTACTATGACCACTGACAAACTCACAAAATGCAAACTACATTTATTATATCATTTGCTGTTATATGTGTACAGTTACCATGGTTCTAATATCCTTATAACGTAGAGTGAGGTATCATTATAAAATTTTATTCATAGCTTTATTCTAATGGCAATTAAATCTTTTATACACTTCTTTCTCAGTGGGATCTGAATTAATGAGATTTTGCTATGATTTAGAAATGCTGATTTTTTTTGCCAGAATTTCTTTCTTGCTTCTTATTTTTTAATGTATCTAGTGGGAGAAGTGTTTTTATTTGTTATAAGCTATCAACCAGTCCAAAAATAAATCAACCACATGACCTCATATACAGCAGAAATGTGTTTTAAGAGGAAGGAATTTTGACAAACCCAGATCATAATCACTCCAATGCAAGATTCCATCACTTTTTGACTCATTACTACTTAAATTGAATTAACTCTAGGTCAGAGTTTAATAATGGAGGAATCATAACCAAACGGTAAAGAATAGAAGGGAAAAGACAAGAGGGGGGGTAAAAGAGAAGTTAATATTTACTGAATTTCACTCCGTGTTTGTCAGGCAGTTGGCACTGGCTTGACACATTCAAGTTATCTCATTTAGTTCTGTTAACAATCCCATAATGTAAATAATGTTATCCCTATTTTGCAGTTCAAGAAACTCAAGGTTGCTCGGCTAATGGCAAGTCAAGGTGAAGGTTCAAACCCAGGCTTGTTTAATCCCAAGCCTTTTATACTTAACCATACTATGTTTCAATAAACTAAAGTTTGTAAAAATCACTCTTTCTTACTTGGAAACAGAAAGGGCCTTGTATTCTCTCTTCCAGAAAACATGTAGCTGCCTTTCTACATACAGTAAATTATTTGAAAATAAAACAACAAAACTTAAATATTTTCCTTCAAATAATCCATGACAATTACAGTATATCTTAATATTATCTTGTTGATCGAATAGGTTAATGTTTATTTATTGATTTGGAAAATATGCAGATAATAAAGAGGGCAAAGATAAATTATAACTTAAGCATTTGTGTAACATTACCATATGTTCACATACCTAATTCTTGCAAATAAAGGCTTTGCAATGTAAAATTGATATTCATAGTGGCCCAAACCAAAGCAATTCCTTTGGTAGAACCTTTGTCTCACTTATATGTCTGAACAAACTTGATTTTGGAGACCCTCCAGAACAGTGGAGAATAGCTACACAGAGAAAATCACTGAGCAACATAAACATGTTATTACTCTAAACATCCATAGATATGAATCTCATCTTGAAAACTGAGTTTAAAAATGTGATCTTTCATTTTAGATTGTTGTGACTGAAGATAAATAAAAATGATAGTTAGATAATTTATTGAGTATAAATTATTAGTAAGTGAATTGTTCTGTCATGTCATCCTAAATTGTCACAGCATGGTGTCTTTGGGATTCAAAAGCACTTTATACTCTCTTCACTTACTTAACTATCAAGTGGAATCTGACTTGTTCTCACTAAAATATGCCTTTTTTTTTCAGAAATAGCCCTTTTCTGAAAATGCACAAATGTTATGATAATCTATGTATAAATTTCAAAGCCACTTTGAAATACATAAATGCCTGTTGTCTCCTTAATATTAACCAAAATTCAAGCACCACAACATTTTTATTAAGGGTAATATCTAATCTTTTCCCAAAATGTTAGCAAATAGATGATGTATTTTTAAACATCAGGTGAATAATTTGTTATTGGTCTGAGTGAATAAGAGGGTCTCAGTTAAAAGTGTGTTGTCAAAACATCATAAAATGGTCATGCAAATTTCAAACATTTTCATGATGGAACACCTGTGAGAAGATAGCTTGTGTCTTCTTTTCTTAAAAAAAAATCAAAAAAATTAAATTACTGGTTGAACCTCTTTGCCTCTAAACCACACTTAAAAAACTAAAAATAGAATAATTAAAAAAATGAAAACTGAACAATTTAATATCAGAATTTAGTCAAACCATGCCAACAGGAGGTTTAATAGGAAATATTAGAGTAAATAATGTAATCAATCAATCATTCTTGTCATTTAGCTTGCTTTAGGGTAAGAAAATCCATACTTATGATTTTATTATATTTAAAGTCTATTCAAGAAGCAGTTGAAATAGTAAAATCAACAACTAAAACCTGTTACTTGGATAGAAAAGGTGTTTATCTCTCTCTTGCATTTGGTTGTTTTATAACATTTTTTAATCCACCCTCATATTAGAAAGACAAAAATCAATGCAAAGCAATGTAAAGGCAGAAATAATATTTTCTTTCTCTTTTCACAAAGGTTGAGAAGGTCCTTCAGAGAAAGCAGAATAGGTATGCAGTAAACGAGCTACTCCGTTTAAGACTAAAAGAGAATTAAACAAGTGACTTATAAACCAAAATAAGTATGCAGTTTAGGCACCAGTTCCTCCAGCTATAGGAAATTACCTCCCACATGAATATTATTTTTGGCAAGAGTTAGATGATTTTATTGAACTGGAGGGTACCAGATGATTAAGTGGCCATGAAGGGCACATTCCCATCTTGTCCATGCTTAATGTCAGTGACTGTTTAGTTGCACCAGGGCTTAGATCACATTTCCTGGTGAGAATTCTATGGGGAGTCTTATCAATGATGATTGCTCTAGATAAGGTATGACATCTTTGTTGTTTTGCCCAAAAACATAGGCAGTAGTATATTCTATCTTCTCTTATTTCTCATTAAGAAGAAATGTAATATCAAACCAGAGTATATGCCATTTAATAAACTTGAACATTTACATTCTGTGGCTTTCTGAAATAAACTAAAGGTATCTGATGACTATAAGGAATTTATAATACCTCAATTGACTTATTTTGGAGAATGGATATTTTTTTTTTAAATGTCTACTCAGCAAACTTCTTTTGTGGTTTCTAGGTCACTTATAAAGTTATCAAATTATATGTTGATTCTTAAGCATAGTGTTAATTGGACAATTTTCTGATCCTAATATATGTCTTATTGAGAATCTGAAGTAGTATATTAATTAAGTGTTATTCTGCAATAATTCAAATGGCGTTATGATTGAGGTACCTACTTTACGGCTGTTCACATATACTAAGCCAATTGTGAAAGAAACAAACATTTGTCCAATTTTATTAAATTGATGGTAGAATCATATATCTAGAAATTATTATCTACATTAAAAGGTGGTTGTGAATACTATACCCTACAAGATCTTTAAGCCTCTTGAAAAAGGTACCACACGGGCAGTTTAACATTTCAAAAATAATATATTGAACTAAGACAAATTAGTGCTGACAGATGTAAACTATCATCCAGAAACTGTCAAATACAAAAGCTGCTATTTGAGTATATGACCATTCTTTCTTAACTGGAAGCTTTCTTAACTCTCTCACAGGAGAGCATACTGTACTGAGATGAACAAAAACAGTTTTGTGAACTGCATTTCTATTATGGCTTAGTTGCCTGAGAAGTATGTATTAAAAACAAAAGTTCATATATACTCTAGACTTTCTGTTCAAAACTCAAAATGAAGTAAAAATGTGGCTTAGATCAGTGAATGTATTGGATTACAATTCCTAAGCAGGGTGTGGTGAGGAGAAACAGAAGGTGGAAACAAAACCACATTTCCTGATGAAATTGCAGCATTACTAACACAGGTGAAAAGTGTGACATGGATGTGAGCAAAATATCAAACAAACTTAAACACCAAGCCATTATGTTGTTAACACCTTAAGTAAATTCCACTCACAGAGCAGCAAAGAAATTAGAAACAGAAGGGAAAAAAAGAAAGAAAGAAAGAAAGAAAATACCCCCTCTATCTCACACACACACATGCACACACAAACACACACAGCATGGATGAAATCCATGGATGTAAGAAAAATTTTTCACTATTACATTCTCTATATCAGTAAATATAATATGTTGGCTTCATTACTCATGTTGTTCTTTTAAAATTAAAATTTTTCAACAGTTTATATGTCTACATGGTATAAAATTGAAAATGTAAAATTTATAAGGTACCAAATCTCCCTCCCAGCCTTTCTACAGGCAACCACTGCTACAAGTTTGCTTATTTTATCTTTGCTTATATTCCAGAATTACACAAGCACCGAAAATGGTAGTATGCTATTATGTTGTATTATTTCTCACAACGAACTAGTGAAAGCAAAACTGCCATGCCATTTCATGTACAAGGAAACTGAGCTCAGAGAGCTTCAAATAATTTTCTCAATTGTATGCAATTCACTTAGAGAGTTCCTTATTTGCTCTAATATCAAGTGAGAGCATTTTGTAATGTCAAATTATGCTCTTTCCTGAGACAAGACAGCATTTTGACTTCAGGATATAACCTTAGCTAGAAGCCTCAGGACTTTGAAATAGGACTCAGTAATACCTCTTAGGGGTGGAATAATTCTAAATTACTAGTGCTGCATTGCCTGGAAAAGATTTTAATGAAAAAATAAAATTGCTCTCAAGTTGACTATTCTTTCACATCATGAAAATGTGAGACAGTACTTAATTAGTGTTGGAAAATACTGAGATTTATCCTTGTGCTATGTTCACACCTGGCATTTATTATTAGCAGGTGTGTAATTGCTATCTGTAAAAAAAGATTTTTTTTAAAACAAATTTATAAAAAAACATTTGCAGGTGGATGAAATAAGAAAGGGTAAAAAATATAAGGTCATGCACTGTGACTCACACCTGTAATCTCAACACTTTGGGAGGCCAAGGTGAGTGGATCACCTGAGGTCAGGAGTTCGAGACCAGCCTGATCAACATGGTGAAACCTTGTCTTTCCTAAAAATATAAAAATTAGCCAGGCCTGGTAGCACATGCCTGTAGTCTCAGCTACTCAGGAGGCTGAGGCAGGAGAATTGCTTGAATCTGGGAGGCAGAGGTTGCAGTTAGCTGAGGTCATGCCACTGCACTCCAGCGTGGGCAACAGAACAAGAAAAATAAAGACTGCAGCAACTTCATCTTGACAAAATTATCACTTTTAAAGGAGATTGCAAAATTAACTTTACCATGTTGGTTTGAAAAACTTAGGACATGTTCTTGGATTTGGGGACTTAATTTGGTATCAGGAGATAATCCAAATTCTCAACAGTCCTTAGCTTAAAAACCCATGCCTTTTTGGAGAGAAGTCATACTAAACCTTGCTAGTTTTGGAAACTAAAAATTTGAAGCTGTCGTCTCATTTTAAAGTTTACTACTGTTTGAAACTACTTCTTTCCTAGTGGGATTGATGGTATAAAAAATATTTGCTGCCAAGATCCATCTAACCAGTTTACAGATGGTTTGAGCCCAGGCTGAAATTTTATTTCCCAGTATTGGGGAAGGAAGCAGCCTGGAACCACCTTGAAATGTCTATCTTATTTATAAAATGAGGAAGGTATCCGAAAACTTTTGGGAAGATAGGTTTTCCCAACGGCCATTTTCTGATATACAAAGTACAACCTGTTTATTTCTGAGACAGCTGTTACCCTTGTATGTAAAAGAGTTTGGGAAGTGCCGTAGAAAATATTTATGTTAAAAATCTCCATTAAACTAGTGAGCATTCTTTTTAGAGAAGTATGAGAGAAAATGCCAAGGAAAACCCAACAAGGAGAATTAAATGTACCATAAGAAGAAGAATTTATAGCACAGTTATAAAGAAAGCAAATAACTTCAAAACAGAGAGTTACAGCTGTTGAATTAAAATGGTGTTTCAGGTATGAAGGATTTTACCAGGTATAATACGGCCTGTTTCTTTTTCTGTATCTTGCTATTCAATGAATTCAGAAGTTAATTTATTTGGTCTTGTCAATAAGCACTACATGCCTCTGAAAGTTACTAAACTATTTTACCATATTAGATAGGTTAGGTCTGCACTTCCATCTGAAAGTTCTTTTTCTGAAACACCTATTGTTCTTTCTGGCCATATCCTCTTCTTGACCTTCTGAACTTCACTCATTCTCTTTGCCTTTTCATAAACCTATATGGCTTTTTCAAAGATATTCAAATATAAAACTAGAACTGTGGAGTTTCATTTTCTTTGTGGACTTTGGGTGGTTGCATACCATATGAACTATGTAATACCTACTTGTCATCATTCTTTCTCAGTGGAATATTAAAATAAATAATCAAGCAAGTCCCTACTGAGAAACACAGCACAAATTAAAGCTGCTTTGAGCACACTTCAGCACACTGCTTTTTAAGGAATATCTATCCTTTTTTCAGTGTGCAATTTAAATAAGTATAGGCTATAAGTTCATACAAAATATGACTCCTACCCTTTGTTTAAAACAACGTTCAAATTTCAGCATGTATTTTTGAGGAAGTCATCCACAAATAATCACTAGGCCATCCGTGAATAGGAAAATTGTAAGTGTGCTAGGTATGCTGCATTCCTTCAGGTCTTAAACTTTTGTTAAAATGCTCCATAAATGCATGAAATGGACTAAAAGTGTCCCCATTTGAAAAACAACAGAGGAGATAATTCATGCCACAATGGATTTCTTCTTAACAGAATAAGGATCAGTGAAACATGGTGATAAAAGAAAACACTAGAGAATACAGAAAAAATATATATATCTTCATGGTTAATATGGCAGTCAATATGACTAGAGTTTATTTTTCTGAGTAGAAAAAAAAAAGAAGAGAAACATGGAAAACTTTAAAAACTTATGACACATCAGATTACTTAAATTTAATTTTTTAATCAAGATTTATTATTTAAAATTTAATTAGAAATTTTAGATTTGAAAAGTTTCATTATTATTTTGTTTTGCTATTAAATAATTCTTTTGCATATTTTACAGAAAAGGGAAACAAAAAGGTACGTAATTTCTACACAATTATGTAGAAAAATACATTCAAGAACAGAATCATGACCCAGAATTTTTTTATGTTTTAGGTTGTTGGTATGCTCAAAATTTACAAAATAAAAAAGAAAGAGAAAACTGATACAAGAAAGAGAAAACAAGAATTTTAAAAATTACTTCATGATTTGCCACTTTTTGTTTGTGTATTTAGTTAATTCCAGTACAGAGGTAGTTAAAAGAGTTTGGAAAAAATTCTTTGTTTTTCAGTACAGACTAAAGTTTTATCTTACTTGTATCTACGTCTATTATTTTGAACTATAAGCATTCCCCACTTACAAGCAATGCTAAATGAAAAGAGGAGAAAACTAGAAAACAAAGTGGTTACAGAAAAGGATAGAGGAAGTCACATCAAATATTTTGTTAGATTTTTCAAAAAAGAAGAGCTAATTTCAATAAAGGTGAATACAGAATGTATCTTCCCTTAGCCAGTATATGTAATATGATATTAGGATGAGCCAGCATAAGGTAACACAATGGGTCTTTGCCAACTGTACCAAGTGGGGATGAACAGTAATTGAGCCATTTGAAGATCCTATTCCATTTCAATTAAAAGAATCAGACTAGTTGGTGCAATAATGAAAATACCATTTAGTGTTTCTTCTTCATTTTCAAACATTTGAATATATCACAACTAATTTCCTTGTAAAACAATTATCATTTCAATAATGGAAAATCTTGGTAGGTAAAAAAGAACATGGAAACTGTTATCTGTAGAAAACTCACTGTTTGATTGTTGACTACGCACCTATTAAAAGAGATGCTGTCAGCAGCTTAGGGTCATATGGACTCTTCCCACGGCCGTTTTCAAAATGTGAGTTCTCCAGCTTAAAAATATTGTCCTGTAGATTTAAAAAAAAAGAGAGGAGGGTTTCCTTTATATATAAAAAGGAATGTTTTCAACATATCAGTTAATCAAAGAGATGTCAAGTATTCATGTCCAACACAAGAGTTATTTTTATTTGTTCAAACTTCTAAGATGGCAAAAAAAAAAAAATCAAGTGTATTGAAAGTAGGTAATACTAGCCAAACATCTACTTAGCTTAATGATATTTAGTAGCAATTAGCACGTTACAAGTAATAATGTGTAAATGAACGATAAAGAACAGGATGTGTCATGATAAGAGGAGAGTGATTATTTTGTCACACAGGTGTGTTAAGATCTATCATAATGGCTTTTGAGGAAAGAATGTTAAACTTAAATAAAATGACTCATTTCCTTCCTTTGTAGAAGAGAAAAATAGCAATTCACTACGCTAGTTGTCTAGAATAAATTACACAATCTTGTCTGTATGTACTTTCCGGAACACATGCTAAATAGCCATCAAATTTATTTTCCCCACTATGTCCTTTGTACATCTTTGGTGGCTACACGCTTCTTGTGTATTTTTAAGTTACATCAGCAGCAGGTGAAGTGCCTGAAATGCCTCATTCACTTCTCTAAGAGGGAAATATCCCAGGTTAGGAGAGCAGTGTGCCTGGAGGTGCTGTCATTGGAATAACAAGCGCATTATTACCACGGAAAAGCCTGCTCTGTTGGGTCCCTAAGTACTCAGAAACAGGAATAAACTTTTGACTACATATAAAAAATATACACATGTCTCAAGGTAGAATATGTGCAGGAAAGCGTGACATCAAAAATCTTGATAAGGAGATAACTAATTCATGCTTGAGACCCTGTTGTCAGAATGTGTCTACCTACTGCAATCTATTTGTGACAGTGGAGTATATCTGGGGACATTTCTGAGCATTCTTTTAAGAACCAAGTGCCCTGGGAATTAATTAGATAAGAATATGTATGCTTTTTCCAGTAGCACATTAAGTTATCCACAGACTGAAATAAAATAGCTTTTTATTTTTTGGCAATTTCTCTACTGTTCACATAAAAGTATTTTCTACCATCTTAGGATAGTAAATGATGTCCATTTTATGATCAATAAGGATCGTTTTATTTAACATTTAATATTTCTGATGGAACTAATGGCAGGGTTTCAAATTATTACTCTTAAAACTCATTTGAATTAAGGATGAAAGTTAAAAAAGAAGAAATTCCAAGTGTTCTGTTTTTATTACCGTGAATGAGAATTACTAATTATATTCTTCTTTCTTTGCATTTATTCTGTATTTGGCAATTAGCTGTCCCGTACTAATGATATTTCTTTAGCTTAGTTCTAAAATCTATACTGTGAAATAATTTATGGGCTTTTCACAGAATTGTGCTAAGTTACAGTGGAACCAGTAACTTAGTCTGGCACCAGACTTAGCTCTGGTTTTCTGGTCACTGTTTCATATCTCCAAGCCTCTAGTCCTAAAATGTCAGCGCAGATAAGGATATTTAACATCACAAGTTAATTGGGAGGGTTATATAATTTATTTGAACCATTTTAAAAGCAGCAAAATTTTAAAAATGCTTTTCATTTCTATTCTATTAATAATGTTAATATTACCAGTATAACAAAATAATACGCAAATTAACACAGGTTGTTGCCGTTATTTTCAACTTTCCTAACATAATAAGAAAGAAATATTACATTAAGACAGTTATATAAATCACTAAATTCCAAACTTTTTCACAAATACAAATTTATCGTAGGCATTTAAATATTAACATTATATGAAACAACATATTCTATTCAAAAACTTAGAAGAATCATTAAAGAAATACCCAGATATATGTGTGTTTTGATTAAAAATTAGGAAATAGTAAAAAGGAAACATAATAAAAGACATATACCCTATTGTCACAGTTCATACAAAATATTAAAATTTGTATATGTGACTATAGATTACAGATTAAAAGAAGCAGCACAACGAAGTGGTAGTGTGGTAGAAATTATTGCTATAAATATTATCTTTTCTTGTACTCGAGAAGATATTTTACACTACTGATACAGACAGAGGTGCTATCTCCTCAAAGCATAAGATACTTTATGTCTGGGATCATATGTCCAAGTTAATCAGACAATGCCAAGGTAGATGAGAAGTACTTCCAATTTCATGCAGTATTTGATTTACAAGGTAAAGGATTAGACCTCATAGGAAGAGAGGTTAAGCATGTCAGTTATGGTTCAAAAGAAGATGAAAAACCATCCTTCGTCATGGTGTCAGGTAATGTGTTCAAAGCTGGCATCCCTTTCCTTTCCCCCTTTTTGTTCAACCCCATAAATAAATACTAAGTTAGTCACCTCTTTTACTGATACATAATATGTTTCCTTTTAATATAACTCCTACCCAAATTTCTGGGAATCTACCCTGTAAATCTTCTGTATTCTTACGTGATTCCATAGAGAATCAAAATAAATTGAATTTCCTTTCCAGTCTAGTGAGATGAGGATCTGAAATAAATATAATTTGATTTTTGGATAGGGAGATAAAATGACATTTCTTACACATGTTTGTAGTGTAAAATTCATGCCCATTACATGTAATAAGGGACTTTAAGGATGTTGAAATCGGGCAGAACTGGGTGTTATCTCTGGCTATGCCTTTTATTAGCTCTATGCCTCAGGCAAGTTCCTACACCCTTCTGAAACTCAGACTCCTGTAATAAGCAGATACGAAAATCCCATAGTTGAAGTGAAGAGTTCTTGTAATAATGTCTACAAAATATTTAGTATGCCCTTGAAAGAGATTTATTAATTTCCCTTAACCATTGGTTATAGTCGTTACAGTAAACTTATTCTGTTCTACTATGACTGAAATATCTTATGTCATAGTGGAGATGCCAGTCTGTATTTTTATCAGTCTTAATTATAAGGCGTGTTTGAAATATATGTAAATATTTTGACCTTTCACAATGCGTTGAAAATTCTTCTTATAGGTAGATGAGAAGCTAATTGAAAATATTTCATGAAAAAATAATTTAAATTAGAAAAAGTACATTATTTTTCTAATATGTGACATTTTTTCAAAAGGACTATAACTGCCAATTCATTAAAATATTTTCTTGAGAATCTCTAAAATTTACAACATTATTACATAGAATGCGTGTGAAAATCAATTAAAACAGTGTCCTCTTTAATATATCTGACAAATTTAATGTCATTGATATAAAGAGACACTATATTGCTGTTTCTGTTATCTAATGAGCAGGACCTTAATTTAGATGTGTGAAGGTATTGAATTATCATGAAAGAACAATGCTAATATAATTGCATATTAACACCCTTTGTTATCATATGAAAAATATCACAGAGACCACTATCTGGCTTTACTTGGAAGGACTTTCAAAATCTGATTGCTACCCAGTGGATTTCTGTTTTGGAAGAGTGTAAAATAGATCACATATGCAAGTAATAAGACTGAAAATCCTAAGACCAATGTATACAATTAAACTGTATAGCTTATATGTCTTACTTGGGCTGAAAGAGTTTTCACTGTAGAAATACATGAATAAAACTTTAGCTACACGGATTCTAATTGCTTTAGCAGATGCTATGAGCATATCATATAAGTTTTTGTGCTATATTTTATTACATGATTGCATCAGTTTTCAACGACTGTTTTTAGCTTTCAAGACCACTCTCTCCCCTTTGTCTTTTGGATTTCCTGAATGTTATTAGACTGTGGTGAGGTAAGGCATTAGAGGAAATAATAACTGTGCTAATGTCTAATCCAAAGTCTTATAAATTAGAAACCATTGGTGACTTCATGGCAATAAATTTCCTAAATCTCAATCTTGTCCAAGTCATAAATTTAGGTAACAAAGTTGTAATTTTAGTTGTTTTATTTAATGATTAAAACATAAATGATGTTTGTAAAAGAAAAAGAAAGGAAAGGAAAAGAAAGGAAACCTTTATATATGTGATAGGATAAATATTTTAGGTGGGAAATTGCATAAAATTATGTGAAAACTAATAGTTGGACAGTATTGAAAGAATGTATATTATCTTTTTTTTTTCAAATTGTATTTCCTGCCTTTCTGTTTCTCACAAAATACACTTTCTATGCCAGTTATACTAAATTATTGAATATTCCCCTGGTCATGCCATCCTTTTCTCATCTCTGCCTGAGACCCCTTCATTCTGCTCTTACTCATCCTCAGGCCCCAACCTGAGGGTGACCTTCTTTTCCTTTGAGATTAAATTCAAAAGTCACTTCCTGGAAGTCTTCAGAGATTCCTGCTGATATAATTGGTTAGTCTTCCTTTGCACACACTTGAATTAACAATAGTATACAGGCAATAGCTATATAGGGTGAAACTACTGGCTTCAGCAAATAAAGAGTGTAATAAGATCTCAAAGGAAATATTGTGACATATTGCACTTTGACCAAAAGAGATCCTTCTGCAGATCAAATTTATCCACAATTTACTTTTCCTTAAAAGGCAACTTTAGATATACACTGTGCAATACTACAGTCACACGTTGCTTGTGGTTATTTAACTTTAATCAAAAGGAAAAATTCCATTCTCCAGCTTCATGAGTCACATTTCAAGATGTCAATAGTCACATGCAGCTAGTGGCTTCTATAATGGATAAAGGCAAATACAGAACATTTCCACTGAACAACACGTGTCCAAATCCTGAATCCTATGCCCTTAACGGCACACAATAGAGAGTCCACAGTCAGAGGACCTCCAGGAAGAGAAATTTTGACATCAGATCACAATCGTAGTAGAAAAAGTCCATGAGATCTACAAGGAGGGATCACACTGAAAACATCAGTTTAGTTTTTGGGTTAATTGTTTTTTTAGGCCAGGAGTTATGCTAAGTCGTATTTAATGGTAGTACAGATGAACAAATACTCACTCTATTTTTCCTGTATGTCATTCTTCATGTACTTGGAGTCACTTTTCCCTAATCTAAGCAGGTACAAATTTTACTTATTACGTAAAGATTAG